GGAGGAGGAGGAGGAGGAGGAGGAGAGGGCGGAGGAACACAGGAGGAAGAGGGGGGAGAAGGAGGAGAAGGAACACAGGAGTCGAGGGAGGAGGAGGAGAGAGAATGAGGAGGACGACTGGGACGTCATCGACGACGAGAAACATGGGGGAGATAACAAAACAAGGAAAACGCGCACGGTCCTGGAATTCGTTCGCCTCCTGAAGAGTTCCCACGTCTGCCTACTCCATCTCTTCCCCCTACCTGGAGAAGGCGATGGGGGAGATGTAGGGATGCATGGGGGCGGGAATGCCAACTGCGCTCGCGCCATATCTGACATCGTACCACGCCCACCCATCCCTTCCCATTGCGCTGAGGTCTGTCGTATCCGCGGGGGGTTTTGGAGGACCGTGATTTCCCCGCCGTGCGGTGCGCAATCTGAAAGAAAAGGGGCTTTGCACACTGGAGGCGGCTGCGGGAGTGAGCACGAGCGTGGGCGGCGTTGTGTCGCCGTCCGCCGCCGCCTGCTGCTCCGCTCGCTGCCGTACTGTGCCGCTCTGCGGTGCTGTCTGGTGATGGCCGCCAGCTGCTGGCTGGCTGGCAAAGTACAGCGGAGGCCACTCTCCACAAAAAACTCTTCCACAAAAAAACCCACCCTGAGACCCCAGGGCGTCCATTGATTTTTGGTGTGGGAACGTCGCGCTTCCCATGGAAAGACATCAGCGAAACCCAAGACACCCAGGGCATCTCTGAGGCAAGCAGGGTGTTTCGTGGCATGGGTCTCCACTATATGTGTTCAGTGCTGGTCTGCGCTGGTCTGCGCTGGTAATCGTCGGTCTTTGCTGGTGCCTACCGATCCTTGCTGGGTTCTGTTAGTCGCTGCTGGTCACTGTTGGTCTCTGCTGGTCTCCGCTGGCCTCTGGCTCTGATGGTTTCTGCTGGTCTCTGCCGGTCTGAAATTGTCGCCGGTCCCCGCCGTTCTCAACTGGCCCACGCAGTCGTCACCAGAGTCTGGGCGCGAACGGGCCCGTGGAGCACGCACAGGCGGCTCCCCCGAGGGGTGTCCAAATGCCACGCCGGCTGCATCGAAGTGATCATGGGGGGAGGGGGGAAGGGAGGAGGGGGGAGGGGAGGAGGGAGGAGGGAGGGGGGAGGAGGGAGGAGGAGGAGGAGGAGGAGGAGGAGGAGGAGGAGGAGGAGGGATAATAATAAGGATATATTTTCCGAGCTCGACAATCCATCTCGAGTCGGCCCTCCACCGCGGACTCCATGAGCAACGCGCCGACCACCGGGATGTGCACGAGGGCGATGCAGATGAGCGGCAAGGCCCACGCCAAAGCCGTACCGAGGGATATCACGACGAGGCCGCTGCTGCCGAAGACACGACATACGAACCAAATTGACCACGCCCAGTGGTGAACATCGGACCACCGCGTACAAGCCCTCGAGCGGGAGCCACAGACAATGCCAGGGAACCCGTCGCCACATTCAGCGCCAGGACGCTCCCCGAACAAGGACAAACAAACTGCAGGCTGAGATGAACCGCTCCAGGCACACGATGCGAATTTCGAACGTGTATCACACCTGCCCGGAAACATCATCAAACGACGAGACAGCACTGACACGATCGAGGCCCGAAAGATCGCCACCGCAGTCGTCGACTATGGAGCGGCCATCAAGCGTATGGGAAAAGCAGACCTTTTTCTGGGGGCATGTGGTAGCCCCGTTGGTGTCCATGAACTGCTGGGTACAACTGGCTCCGCATCGGCCACGGAGCCCCCCGCGCCCAAAAAACCAGCGGCTCCCCGAGCAACAGCATGCAGGACACCACCACCGCCGACATCCGCAGCGTCGGACTGCGGCCCCCAGGCCATGCCAAACTAATCGAAAGAACTTGCCAACCACGTTCTCCACGGCGGGCACCGCGCTCGCGACACCGCCGAACTGCTGCTCCTCGATCTCCTGTCGTGCGGTCTCGGCCTGCGCGGGGAGCGTGGCCGCGAGGCGCCAGCCCGCCATCCCCGAAGGCCTTGGCATGCAAGGGTGGGGCTCCGAGCGGGATCTCCCAGGTGCCACAGGAGCCAGCGCCTCGCCGCCTGAGACGACCCGCGCCACCTTGTCGCCCAGCACGGGCCTGGCCGCACACCCCAGCCTCAACAGCAGGCGCCAAGCCGGTGGGCCAGCTGTTGCCCAGGCGATCCCACCGCCCGCGGCTGCGGCGAACCCACCTCTTGGCGCGAGAGCCGCATGCCAAGCTGCGTTTCGCCGCCTGCGTGTGGCTCCTGGCGCTGCCGCGCCGGCTGACAAGAGCTTCAGCGCGGGCCGCGCCGCCAGCTCCCTGTTTTGCCAGGAGCCTGACTTGCCGACGCAAGCATGGGCGCGCACCGCATCATCGAGAGCATCCCGAAGGCGCCGACGAGCAGCGCGGCGAGCCGCCGTCGGACCGAGGGCGACGATGTCGGCGGCACGTAAGGCGCTGGGCCGCCGCGCACTCGGGCACTCGGGCAGCCTCCCGCAGCCGTCCAAGGCGTGCCCGCCGCCGCCGCCGCGCCGCCGACCATGGGCGAAAAGGCTGCGGAGAAAGCGGGAAACACGGCATGCGTCAAAATGGCTACGGAGGAGGAGGAAGGAGGAGGAGGAGGAGCCCAAAGGCCATACCTGCTGCGTTGCGTTGGCCATGGGGCTCTCGAGAGAGGCAGGTCCCAGGAGCCCATGCGGGCGTTTCGTTGGAGACATCCCCCGGATCTGGGCGCGAACGGTCCGCGGTATGCCTGCTACATCGTGGTGATCGTGGGGATCTCAAGAGAAAGGAGCCGGCCGCAATCTGGGCCCGATTGGGCCTGTAGGCCACGTCTCGGCGGCCCCCTCTTGGGCTGCCCAAGCGCGATGCCTGCTGCATCGTGGTGATCATGAGGCTCTCAAGAGAGAGAAGTTGGGAAAGCCAAAGCCAGCAGCTCATGAGACGTCCCCACAAGCTGGGCGCGAAGGGGCCCGTGGAATACTCTCCTGCGGCTCCACAGAAGGGTGCCCGAGAGCTATGCCTGCTACACCGCGATGGTCATGGGACTCTCCAAAACAGAGGAACCCGGGAAGCAACATCCAACAATTCGCTTGGGACGTCCCCGTAATCTGGGCGCGGATGGGCCCGTGCAATACCCTCATGGCAACTCCCCCTTGGGAAACCACCCACATGCTACGCCTGCTGTTCATCGCGGTGATCACGGGGCTCTCAGATCAAGGGGGCCGGGGAAGCCCAGACCAGCGTTTCGCTTTGAACGTCCCCGCAATCATGGCGCGGACGGGCCCGTACAATACCCTTCTGGCAGCTCCCCCTTTGGTTGCTCAAACACTATGCCCGCTACATCGTTGCCACCTTGATCGGGTCTGAGTTTGAGTGGCGCAGCGTGAGTAGGTCTGATTGCAAGTGATTGTGGGTGTTAGTAATGTGAGTGCGAGCGGTCTTTTTGTAGGGCTCTGAGTTTTACCAAACTGGATATGTTTGGACCTGGGTGCTTGGTCTGAATATGAGTGAGTCAGGGTACGGGCGGGTACTAAAATTGTGAGTGGGTCTCATTCTGAGTCAGTCTGAGCGTGAATGATCTGAGCCACTAGTCTGCGTAAATAAGTCTGGGTCTGACTATGTGTAGATCTGGGTGTGCGCGATCGGGCAGAGTGAGTGTGTGTGTGTGTGTGAGAGTGAATCCGAGTATGAGTTGATCTTGATCTGAGGGATATGACAGGGAGAACATTTGAGCAGGGACCGGCCGTCCTGGCATTCCTATAGGCTGGCCACGGAATGTTCTTAGAACCCCAAAATGTTATGGGAACAAACACAGCATTCTTAGAACATAAGCCAGATGTGCTAAAACAACTCAGTCCCGGCCAGACATGTTCTAAGAGCATGTCGTGGAAACCACAAAAGGTTCTTAGAATATTGTTTGGTAGGCCTATAGGCGAGCCAGGACGCTTCGCCACTGCTTGAAAACTGGAATAGAGGAAGAGGGAAGATGGAGGCGGAACAATCATTCCATACACAGGGTATGTGGAAATACCAAATTCTGGCATCCTATGTTCTAAAACCGTGTGCGGAAAAGGCGGGTTCTAGCCCGCACACTATCAAGGAAGAGAGGAGAGTAGGTCCCCTGCAGCCGTCTGAGGCTCTCCAAGATCGCTACTAGCCTGAGGTGAATTGACCAGGTCGTGACCAAGTCGAAGAAACACCCCTTCCCTTTGATCCTTGCCCCGCCGGCTGGGGGTGGTCTGATGTGGGGCAGTCCCAGAGACCAACAACGGCTGACTCCATGTTTTCTGTGTGATCGTAACGTTCTCGTCGCATCGGTCGCAAGAGCGTCCAAGAATGCACACCAACCCCCGAGAAGGGCCCCAAAGGCCGCCAAGACGGCCCCAAGACCAGCTCAAAAAGTACGCCTGTCGCACCGCTGCACGCCAACCCCTTCAACATGACCCCAAGACCCCCAACAGGCCCCAACACGCACTCGAGTGGACCCCAAGGGCCCCTGGGAGCCCCCCAAACAAGCCCCCCAAGATGCCCTCAAATGTGCCCAAGGGACTACGACCCAGGCCCAGTGTCGGGATGGGTCGAGGACCGTTAGATTTTCGCCATCGTACCAAATCCGCCACTGCCTCTTGCCCCCGTCCACCTTCCTCATCTTGCGCCCAAGCTGTTCACTCCTCCAGGTCGGCGGGACTGGCCGTGAGGCCTTTGCAACACTGGCATCCTGTGTGAAACATACCCAGTGATGTACCCCTTGCCGTCGCTCGGACGTCCATTTCCCGTGCTTTTTCGGTTTCGTGAGTGTTTTTTTTGTTGCTCGATGGTCCAGGATGGTCCTCGATGGTTCTCGCCGGGGAAAAAACGCACACGTCCGAGCGATGCCGAGACCCCACCTATGTGCAACAAGTGACTTCATCAACGGGAACCTTCGACGAGGGACGAGATCTCTGTGGGATGCTACAGGGCCCCCAGAGGCGAGCTCTCACGGGTGTGCGTGGCGCGTCGCTTCGCTGGACTCCCCAGGATCCTGCGAACGTGGCGTCAGTTGAGCAGTCGGCAGATTCCAGAGGTGCGCGCTCTCGTTTGGGTGCGCGAGGTGCGTCACAGTTCTCCTCCTACTCCTCCCTCCTCCTCCCACCTACCTCCTGCCTTCTGCCTCCTCCCTCCTCCCTCCTCCGTCCCTCCGTCCCTCCGTCCCTCCGTCCCTCCGTCCCTCCCCCCTCCCTCCCTCTTCCCTCTCCAACGCCAACACCAAAAACGGAGTCCAAAACCAGAGGTCCAGGACTACCGCAAGAAACGAAAGCATCCCTCCTCTCCCCTCCCTCCCGCCCTCCTCCCACTCCTTCTTTCTTTCTCTCCATCTGCCTCCCGCCCTCCCCTGGGGAAACCCAAATAGTATCAGTACCACTACTCCCCGGACCTCTTCTGGGTGCGTTCTGACCAGAATTTCGAGGCGACTCCGGCGGTGGCGACGCGGGCCTCCTGGGAGGCCCGAAAAGGCAAAACCGAGGGAAGGGTAGCGCCGGCAACAAGTTGTGTGGAAGGTCGGATCTGAGTACCTTTTCCTCCTCTGATCCCCTCCCGCCCCCTTCCCTCCCGCTCCCTGCCGCGAGACCGAGCCAGAAGGCGAAACCGAGCGAAGGGTAACGCCGGCAACAAATTTGTTTGGAGATTCGGATCTCTGGCTGCCTTTTCAACCTCTGATCTCTGATCCCCACCCCCGCCCCCATCCCTCACGCTCCCTCCCGCGAGACCGAGCCAGAAGGCAAAACCGAGAGAAGGGTAGCGCGAGCAACACAATCGTTTGGAGATTGGGATACGTCAGGTTCGTGTCGTGACGACCCCGGCGTTGGTTTCTGACTCCGCGTGGATCGTTCAACCTTGAACGATCGGCGACCGTCCATCGCTCGATCGTTCCATATAGGCCGATTCTGGGCCACTGGCGGCGTTCAACCTTGAACGCCCGCGGCGGGGTCGCCGCCGGTCGACACGACGCGGACCTACCGTACGTGGGTGCCTTTTCCTCCTCTGATCCCCTCCCCCCCCCTCCCTCGCGCTCCCTGCCGCGAGACCGAGCCAGAAGGCGAAACCGTGGGAAGGGTAGCACCGGCAACAGATTTGTTTGGAGCGTCGGATCTCTGGCTGCCATTTTAACCTCTCATCTCTGATCCCCACCCGCCCCCTTCCCTCCCGCTCCCTGTCGCGAGATCGAACCACAAGGCAACCAAGGGAAGGGCAGCGCCGGCAACACATTTGTTTGGAGCATCGGATCTCAGAATGCCTTTTCCTCCTCTGATCTGTGATCCACTCGCGCCCCCATCCCTCGCGCTCCCTGCCGCGAGACCGAGCCAGAAGGCAAAACCGAGCTAAGGGTCGCGTGGGCAACACATGTGTTTGGAGATTCGGATCTCTGGGCGCCTCTTCATCCTCTGATCCCCTCCCGCCCCCCTCCCTCCCGCTCCCTGCCGCGAGACCGAGCCAGAGGGCGGGAAGGGTAGCGCCCGCAACAAATTTGTATGGAGGGTCGGAGCTCCGCCTCCGGCTCCCCGTCCGACGTGCCTCCGCCGGCTCGCTGTGCGGCCCAGCCCGCCCTCCCCTCCTCCTCGACCTCCGCCTCCTCCTCCTCATCCCTCCTCCTCCTCCTCCTCCTTCTCCTCCTCCTCCTCCTTCTCCTCCGCCTCCTCTTCCTCCTCCTCCTCCTCGACCTCCTCCTCGACCTCCTCCTCCTCCTCCTTTTCCTCCTTTTCCTCCTCCTCCTCCTCCTCCTCCTCCTCCTCCCCCTTCCCTTCCGCTCCTTGCCGCGAGACCGAGCCGCGCGTCTGCTCCAGGCCCTCCGACAGCTGGCACAGGCGCTGCAGGGGCTCCTGCCCCCCCCCCCGGGGCGGCCGCCAGGGCGCCCCAGGAGCACCGTCGCCAGTGAGGAGGAGGAAGAGGAGGAGAAGGAGGAGGAGAAGCAGGAGGGAGACGAGGAGGAGGAGGAGGAGGAGGAGGAGGAGGCGGAGGAGGCGGAGCAGGAGGAGGAGGAGGAGGAAGTCGAGGAGGGCGGAGGTCGAGGAGGAGGAAGAGGAGGAGGATGAGGAGGAGGAGGGGAAAGGGGAAGAGGAGGAGGAGGAGGACGAGGAAGAGGAGGAGGACGAGGAGGAGGAGGAGGAGGAGGGAGGATGATGATGATGATGAGGAGGAGGAGCAGGAGGAGGAGGGAGGACCTTTTTGACCTTGCGATCATGGGCGCTCCCTGATGATACACGGACCCAGCCTCCTCATCAACATCCACGCGGGAAGGATTGCCCACTATTGGGTGGAAGCCCCCGCGACAGGCGTGACAAGACCTCGCGGCCCGCCTTGGAGGGGCCGAGAAGAGGGCACGGCTCGGCCAAATATTCGACCGTGTTCACACAATGGCGTCCGCAGGCCCTGCAAACCAGTTCTCCCCTGAGGCAGTCCATGGAGTGGGAACCATGCACATGGGAGTGCGCAGGATGAGCTATGGCCGCATCATGGCCGTCACACATTGGAGGCTTTGCCACGCACCGCCCAAGATTCAACTCAGAAAAATTGCCTCCGTAGGCTGGGGACTTCCGTTGACACACCACACAACGGAAACAGCCACGACTCTTGACCACAGAGTGGCCAGTACCTCGAAGGCACTGGCGCCGCACAACATCAGTAGGCAATGCCTTCAGGCGAGGAGGCGGCCTACCTACGAGATCGGCTTCATTGCGGGCGCAGGTGAGGCTAACGTCCCTATTGACATCAAGCAGGCGCGATATAACTTGGGAGGCTAAGGAAATAACATCGGCAATCAACTTGGCATTTCCGGGATCGACCTCCCCTTTGGCACACGTATCTGAACAGTGTCCTCAGACAGGCCCGAAGTAGTTCCCAGGGCCACACTCGCATGAGCCTTCGTCCGTATCAGGACGACACGAGCCGATCGCCGATCCAACTGGGTCCAGATCGGACTCCACGGACCGAGCATCGGGGACCTTCGGGCAATGGGGGTTCGGGACCGCCTGAGCGCCCGCACAAAGGGGAACTAGTCCGAATACGCCACGATGTCGTCTGTGGTATGAACGAGCCACTGGAGCAACGCGCACATCTCAGCACGCGGACAGAACTGCTCCTGAGAGGGAAGACTGCCACACAGTGCAGTCGAGGCGTTGACCTACGGAACCCTAAATCAGGAACGGGACACCATTTTTCCATAAATCAAACTTTGATTTCCCATCGAAAACCGAAGGAAAACCTCAGGCAAGCTGTAAAACAATGAAGGAACACGGAACCCCTCCCCAACGAGAAGGGTTCCTTCTTCAGCGCCCTGACTGTACCCCTTCGAATCGAAAATCTCCTGGAAGAGAACTAGGATCGAGCTTGACCATGGCCCACCCACGCCGTCCAAGCCTCCAATCCTTATCCAATTTGCCACCCGAACCGCCCCCGCACACCCCCCTCCGCGGAGCTGGCGTTGGCCAGGATGCCCCGAGCGAACACGAGGGGACTCGGCGGAGGGGTGCGATTGACAGCGGCGACCACGATTCCAGAAGGCACTTTCAGGACACGCTCGACCAGCCTCCTTATCTTCAGGGACGAGAGGAGCAGACTACCACATACCACTGGATTCAATATCGGAGTTGCACGGGAATTGCCGCAGCCTGCGCATCAGAATTTCTTGCCCTGCCCCACAACGCGGGCAAACGCCAAACGAAAGATAACCCGCCTGCCGAAGCCGCGCTTCGGGCCGGCATCCAGCAGAAACAATGTTCAGAGCAAGGCTGCATCTTGATGGGCGCTTTCGGACACTGGCTTCCCGTATATATTCGACGAACAAAAAAACCAAACCGACACCGTCTCCCAAACCCGCTCCACAATGATGGGTCGATGCCTCTTCCCAGAGCAACCTGGAGACCGCCTCCTTCGCGTACTTACCCAAGCAAAACTCAAACAACCAGGACCCTCGAGGTCCCGCGCGCCAGAGGACGTGGCCCACCTCGCGGGAGAATCGAGCGCCCATCGCAAATCCAGAAGGGTAGCAGCAATCGGCGGTGGACAAACCTCCCTTTGGTAAACCTCTCTTTCGTGAAAACGGCCTGGCACCGAAACCGACGGACCTGGACCCGCAAAAAATGACGGCCGCGACGCCCTCTCGCGAAGCGAAAGCGGCCAATTCCTGAATCGACGTGTCAGGGTAGGAGGTCTGTTCCCCCCCCGAGGCAATCGCAGAGACAGGGCCTCTCACCGGAGCCCAGCGACGATTGGGCCCGACGCCCGCGAGCCCGGCCCTGGCCGAGGCCCAAGTCCGAACAACACCAGGCTTCAAATCGACGGGCACAGGGCAGTTTTATTTTTTTCTGAAATCTACATATATATACATGTATATATATAGGATTTAACTCATCGCTCGTTTTAATACTGAATCCCTGCATTTTGAATACGTGATCCGCACGCGGAGCATGCATTTTAAACGGCACTGTAGCTGCTTCCAGCTCCCCGCCAGGGCCCCACGTTGCTCTCGCCGCAGACGGCAGGCGGGGCCGTCGGCATATCGATGGCGAACAGCCAACACAGTAAAAGTACACACGAAAGGGGGCCAGCACCCCGAACACTTCGCAGCAGCCGCACGACATGGCTGGACCGCAGAAGGGGGTCAACCCCAAAACGTTGTGGCCCCGGGCATCCGCGCACAGCGCGCCACGTTTGAATCGCCTGCGAGACCCACGGCATGATGTAGCTAAATACTGCAACATCCGAACACGCCGACAAGCAACCCCCATACGTAATCGGACCCTAGCCATGCACCTCCTCCTCCCCCCAGCCGCAGACATCACCCCAGGATCCTTGGCCGCCTCAGGCGCCTTTACAGGATTCCCAGGACTTTCGAACTCCGAGATGGCCTGCCTCATCAGCGCAGACAACGATACAATCAATGATTGCATCGTCTCGGTGAAGAGCGCGATGATTCATCGAGCTCTTCACCGAGACGCGGCATCCAATGGAAGTGGCGCCCCTGAAAACAGAGAGGGCGGCAGCAGGAACCGCAGACATGATGTACTCGGTCGTTCTTTGCGCGCGCTGCGTGACGCCACCCGCGCGCGACGACGCATGCGTGCGAGAGAGAGACGCATGCCAGCGCGCGCGATGTCTCACAGAGAGCTTGTGCCCGCGGCATAGACTGCGTACATCCTGCCATGCTAGAACTGCTTGCTGGAATGACTCTGGAGAGGGCAGGCTCCGCCTCCAACGCTCGCGGGGAAGTGTGCACAAGCAGGCCTAGGCACAACAACTGCGTTGGGTGCCCGAGCTGCAAAGCGAGCTGCACTAGCAGCGGAACCGCCGCGCTGTCGAAAACACGTTCCATATCCCAATGAAGAGGCAAGGGGCACGAAACCGACCTGTGGCGCAACCTTGTAGCGCAAGGCCCTGGGTAGATAGCCCCGCTGCAGAGCCGACGACTCTTTGGCGGCGGCATTCATTATGCCATTCGTCAATCATGCCCCCACGCATGCGCACATGCACACGATGGCACGATGAGCATGTCGGCGCGCCGCGCGTTCACCAGACACACGCTCCATTAGTGAACCCCAATAGCGGTGGCAACAGGAAAAAACATTGGCACGCCTGGACGAGACCGCGAAATTCGAGCTCATGAGCTTGGAGCGCTGCCAGCTGAGCGGCTGCTCTCAGCTCCCCAAAAGTACTGTTGAGGAGCGAAATGCGAGCGCCCTGGGGAGTCCACCAGCCGCCCCGCCACTTCTCCCGATACTTTATCATATCTGGAGGGGCCTGCACAACCCCTTCAAACCCCTTTTCAGGTACTGAGCTGTCACGCAGTCGTCAGATTTCAGCCACTCATGGAGCTTAGGGCTTAGGGGCGCCTCCTGGGGGACTAGTGCGCAGCCACTCGCGAATCCCAGCCTCTGTGCCAGCTTTAGCCTTGACACAAGCCTGTATGCAAAGATGCGCGGCCTTGTCGACCAGCTCGCGGGCCGCGCCCGCGCCGTCGGAGATGCCGGCCAGGGCCTGCGTCCACCATGAGAGTTCAGCAGGCTCGTGGAGAGGCTCAAGATGCACCTGCGGCTGGTCCGCCAGGCGCCCCAGCAAAACCAGCAGGTCCAATTCGCGTCTAGAACCAGGGGCCTGCGTCCGACACTTCAGTAAGCAATCGAGTCGGGAATGGACCAAGGACCAGAAGCGCAGGCACTCGCAAACCAAATCTTGCTTCTTACAACCGCGCCTCCTGAGCGACCCCGAGAACGTCCTGGGCGCGCGATCTGCCCCCAACGCTCGTTCAGGTTGCACGGCGACGCAGGCCCGCGACAGGGGCGCGTGCGCGGCGGCCCCAGGCCACAGCGCATGCGCCCGAGACAAGTCCGAAGACGCGCGATCAGCAGCATGCCGCAGGAAGGCCTCCGAGACGTTCTCAGGAACCACCGCCTCCAAATCGTCGCGCAGAGCCCAAACGCCGCAGTGCAGCCCCGCGCTGTCCGGGCCCGAGGCAGGGGGACAAGCGGCGCGCTGATCTCTGCGTAGCACAGCGAGGGACAGCGCGTCCTCGTCGATGACGGCCTTAAGACAGGCATGCGTCCCCAGCGGCGCGTCCGCGACGTCCGGCAGAGAGACGACTGCGTGTGCAAAATCCCAGGAGCACTTGCGAGATAGTCGGTCATCGTCTCGCCCGCATCACAGGTGACCTCGACGTTGTCTGGCGCGATAGGGCGTGATCTAATACATTCGAACCATCTGGATGCCGCGAGGACCTCGGGGGCATTGCTGACGTCGCCCAAGAGAAACCACGGGATAGCCAGGGTCTGAAAAAAACTGACCGAGATCACGCGCGTGCGATTCAGGTTTCACCCGCCATACCAAT